AAGGGCCAGAAGTTACAAAGGAAAACTCTGAGAGATGGTTAAGGAAAGGAAACAAGTTCTCACTGCCACCGAATTCGAGAACGAATTCTTTTTTAGTGGGGGAGACTTGTAATGGCCCGAAACCTGCTCGGGATAGTGGACCGGTTTGTATTGAGGAAAAAAGGTGACTTGGTTCAGATCAAAGGGGCTGATCGTGAGCAAGTTAAGGAAACGACCTAGGCAAGGTCGAGAAACAAGTCCGAAAGACTTAGTCTGACAAGATGAGTCTGTATAGTCGAGCTGGCAGGAATAATCGAGCTGAACAAGCTGAAGTAGCTCACTACTAGCTGGACCAGCTGACTATTAGCTGAACCAGCTGACTATTAGCTGAACCAGCTGACTACTAGCTGAACTAGCTGGACTAGCTGACCGGCAGCTCAACCTAGCTCAGCCAGCTGATCGAGTACTGACCCAGCTGGGCGGACTGACCAGCTAGGTACCGAGCTAAGGTGTTACTGAGGCAGTAGTAAGTCAGTTGTGGCTGGTGGAACTCGACCAAAAGTGATTATGGCCAAGTAACTGCCTGTGATCCAAAGGGTGCGATCCTGACCATTGAAAGAATCAATGGCTGAGATTGGGGTATGAAGGGTGGACGGTTTTGGGCAAAGGAAACCGCCCATATGTTATAAAAGAGATGTATTTTTGTGGAAAATGACATCTCCCACGCTTAAGGCGATTTATCCCCAAGATAGCCGAGAGAAAATATGATTCCCGAATTCCAGTCAGTCGGCGTCGGAGTGCTCCGACCATATCCGAGAGAAGTTCGGTATTGTCTGGGAGAAAGAAGATTTATTCGAGAGAAAATGGAGATCATCCGAGAGAATCAGAGATGGTCCGGGAGAAATAGGGATGTCCGGATTCCAGTCGAGTCATCGTCGGAATGGGCCGACTATATCCGAGGACAGTCTGCAACAAGGCGATTTCAGTCGAGGCGTTGTTACTGGTTTCAGGAGAAACGTAACCATCACCGAGAGATGATCGGGATAAAGGAAACTTAGCCGAGGGAAGGGCAAGTTATTCGAGGGATGAATAGGAATGGTCGGCGTCTCGCGATGATAGTCGGAGATACGAATGATCGGTGGATCGATTTGTGACTATATCCGAGAGAAGCGGTTATTACCGTGACCATATCCGAGAGAAGATCAGGATAAGGGATATTATCCGAGAGAATAGAAACTTAGCCGAGAGAAAGGCAAGTTATCCGAGGGATAAAGAAGAATGGTCGGGTGGCTCTCGATGGTAGTCGGATGATGTGCAGGGTCGATGGATCGATCCGTGACCACATCTGAGAGAAGCGATTATACCGTTATCATATTCGAGAGAAAGGAGAGATATCCGACAAGGAACAAGAATAGACGGAAGTATCACGATGATAGTCCGATGTCTCGCATGTATAGTCGGGTGATGTGAATGATCGGAGGATCGGTTCGCGATTATATCCGAGAGAAACAGATAACCGTGACTACATCCGAGAGAAACTCTGAGCGATGGATGTTTGCCCAAGAGAAAGGAGAGGTATTTGGAAGATGAGAGGATTAGCCGACAGTCTCGCGTTGATAGCCGGATGATTCGTAGGATCGCCGGACCGGTTTGTGACTATCACCAGGAGAAACAGTTATATGGTGATTACTTCCAAGAGAAACTCCAAGGGATAGATGTTCGTCTGAGAGAAAGAAGGGACATCCGGAAGGGAAGAAGATTACCCGGCAGTCTTGCGGTGATAGTCGGGAGACACGAGAGATCCAAAGATCGGATCGTGATTATAACCGAGAGAAACAGTTATACTATGACTATCACCGAGAGAAAATGGTTATACCGAAAGGATAGCCGAGAGAAATAGTATAATAATTTGATGTGTAATTTTATTATATTTTTGTTTATGTAAATAGTATCCACATGAACTATATATTATATTAGAAATTTATTGTCTAAATTTGGACATCTTGTGTTATAGTGCTATTTCTTTAGGGAACACCATGAGTATTTTTTTTATACTATCAAAAACTTTTTGCATAAGCTTCCCTTTCGTTTGATGCTTTTAAAAAGAAAAACTCAATCCTTACTCCATTTTTGTTTCATATTGTATCTCAGGATTTTGTTTTTAATTTTCATATAGTATGCATTTCTCTACTTATCAATTTTTTTTTAAGATTCAGTCTGTACATAGATGTTTTATAATTAGTTCATATATTCAACGAAGAAAGCAAATGGCAATTAATAATAAAATTCTTTATTATATGAGTTTCTTATTAATTGATATAATATTTGTTTGATAGTTAGGCTAGCTCAATCATTTGCCAATATTGGTGAAGAGTGTGGAATTTATCGTTATATGTTATTTGAAAAAAAAAAAAATTTCAGTTTTATGTTTCATGAAATTTTGCAAATGAAAATTAAGAAATAGTGAGTAATTGTCTTTAATCACCGGTTCTTTAGTTAGGTTTTTACTTCAGTTTTTCCACAATATCAGATTACAACGAACAATATGGAACTTTATATCAGCTTTAAAAACTTGAAATCTGTTATAAGTCAAAAAATTATAATTATATAAATTAATTTTCTCTAGAAGAAAGAAAACCGAGTCGCTCATTAAGTTTTACTTTTGGCGAGAAAGACGTTCTCCAGTTCCAACAATACTATGATTGAGACTCATTCTACTCGATTCACATTATAAATATAAATGCAAAACAGTTGTGAGATTGTATTTTTATGTTGCTTACAACAATCTCAAGCATGAGACATATCAGAGTTCATTTGTGATAGAATTGTGTATTATTTATACTATATATGGCTCATCGCTATGTCTTTTTTTTTGACATCCTCATTGCTATGTCTTTTGGATTTCTAAATGTTTATGCTCCACTTATTTAAATTTTATTGTTTATTACCAGTTTGGTTGTCATTAATTAAAAAGTAAAATTTGTGTTTAGTGATGGCTGATTCCGTTTCTAGTGAGTCAGAGGCGAGATGATTGGAAACAGAGAAGATGATGACTCCATAAAATGAGCTTTTGTTTAAGCTTTATAATTAAGTTTTAGTGTAATTCGTTTTCAGTTTTTTTTAGCTTTGTTTTTTATTTTATTTTATTGAAAATTTAAGAATTATAAAAGTTCTTTTGTAGGTAAAATTTGAGAAAATTTTGATTAATAAATTATTTAATGAAATGACTTTAAATTATTGGTTGAAGAAAATGATATAGCAGTTTTGAAATATATCATTGATTAATTATTTTTGCTGTGGCAACCCTTAAAAGCTTAAAAATTTGATTTTAACAATTTTGTAATAACATATATATATATATATGTCAAATCGAAAAGCAGACAAATATTATTCTCTTTTTACGGTATATATTGATCTCTTAGCAAGTGGTGGACCCGTTACTTCTAATCGACTAGGTTAGTCTTTAATTGTAACTCAAGTTACTTATCAAGAAAACAAAATTTCTCCAAATGGATATCGAAACCTGGGGTACATTGGTTGATCACCGAAAGAGGGTCGCGATTCATGTGAATCACAAAGCACTTGAACGTGACATATGACCGTTTCTTTACGATTTAATCCTATTTTACATCATTATTCATGTGATTGAACTTGTCTTGTCTTCTAAATGATCAATCACATCACTACTCTTGAAGATCACCAAGTTAAGTGTCACTTGGGTCTTAATCACCTTTTGATCATATTTGTGACAGATGTAGTACTTCAGACTCAAACATGTACACATTCATATTAATCGAACAATATAAACCGCTTAGTAACTAATCCTTTTGACCATCAAAAATGTTATTTTAACACCTTTTACACATTAAAATATATTCATATACATATACCTCTACTAATAACCCTAAAACGACATTCATATACAATTAATGAAGATGCCCTACACTAAAGCAAAATTCCACAAACTCTCTCTCTTCCTTTAATTGAAAAGAAATAGACTTTATTGGATTCTAATTCTCTTCACGTTGAAACCTTCCCATTCTCAATTCTTCCCCAACCAAATTTCCACTTTCTTCTTCTCAAAGCTCTCTCTCTTCTTTCTATTTTCTTGTTCTTGTTCTGCTCCTTGTAAGAAGACATGCATGATTGGGCAGCACCGTTGATAGCTTCGGCTCTTTTCGCGTTTCTATCGCCGGGACTAATACTGCAATTTCCGGGAAAAGAATCTCCGGTGGGTTTCATGAACATGAAGACGACGATAGCTTCTATTTTCGTTCACACCGTTCTCTACGGTCTCTTTCTCATCCTCTTTCTCGTCGTTCTCAACGTCCATGTCTATGCTTAGCTCACATGTTATACTCATCTGTGTGCCTCTGTTTGTGCTAGAGGGTTTAGTAGTGATGCTTTGTTTTATGACTTGCGTTGTTTCTTTCTTTGTTCCTCGACTTAATTTTTGCTCGAAAGCTCTAAAGTTTATTGCCAATAAATATTTGCTCTATTGTTATTTGGTATAGCCATTTGTGTTTATAATTGTGAGAAAACATCAAAACGTCGAGAGTATTGACCTCAAGCTTGGAAAACATAGCCTAACACAGGAACTAAATAGTAAATTCATTTTACTCTATTGATTTCTCTAATCGGTGATATAAAAAATTGTAGAACATTAATTTAATTCCACTAACTCCTATGCATTATGGTCAAATTTAATCTCTTAATTGTACAACAGTTTACTCCCAATTCAATTCATAGTACTAGTTAGGGACTTAAGGGGGGACGTTGAGTAAAACCAACGCAAATTATTTGGGCTACAACCCATTAGTGTTGGTCTAAGGCCCATAAATAAAATTAATCACTCACACCCCTAACGATTTCGGAATACTGTAGACTGACAAGTTCTCAACTCAATTTCGTATGGATTTCAATTTTGAATCTAAAATCACCAAGAAAAGTTATCTGCTTCACTCTATTTTTTTTAAAGGTTTTGGTGGTTTCTCTTACTAATGAGTTAGAAATGTTTACTTGGAAGAGAACCTAATCTCGGTTTGGTTTGTCTAATAAACAGTAAACCATTCGATTACACTAATGGCTCTCGGGTTGGGTAAAATCCGCAGGCTTTGTACTCAGTTCGACAAAAGTAAGGTTTGGATTGGACACATTACAAACTCTTGAAACTCTGAAACAAAGCTTCTTGTAAAGGCGCAAAATGGAAAATGATCAAGAACAAGATTTAAACATAAACAGATAAAGAAAGATTCACATTTTGGTTTTCTAGCAATCGGGATTGGTTTCTGCATCATCGATCGTTGCGGAAGCAAGAACAAGCTGAGGTGTAGGAAGTGTGTAAGTGTAATTCTCGCGCCTCGCCTTCTTCTTCTCCCTTTGCAATCTAAAAGCGTCTCTCTTTCTTGCTCTGTAACTGTTGGGATTCTCTGGCACAATCTCTCTCGGGTACACACTAATCTGCAAAAACAAAAGATGCTCACTTTTGAATTCCAACAAAGATTAAGAAAGCTAGTTACGTTTTAGAGGCATGATCATAGATTTACCTTCTTCCTGTCGGGACCAAACTTCTCGAACTTTACTAATCCATCGATTAAAGAGAAGATGGTGTGATCTTTACCAATCCCAACGTTTTTTCCAGCATGGAACTGCATAAAACATTGTTCATGAATCAATCTCCTCAAACAAAATCATATACCACAAGATCAATTCTGAAATGGAATCTGAAGCAAGAACTTAAGAGCTTCTAATTTCGACAGTGTTGTGATTAGAAGCACAAGCATATACACAAGATCAATTCTGAAATGGATTCTGAAACAAGAGCTCACGAGCTTCTAAATTCGACAGTTTTGTGATTTAAAGCACCGTTTAATCAATCTCCTCAAGCAAAATTGAGGTTCATGCTAATTACAATGTCACATAATTATTCTGGAATGGAATCTAAAACCAGAGCTTAGGAGCCAAACCCATCAAAACCTTACTAAATCCCAGAATTGAGGTGGAATAAGAAGAGGTTTTACATACCAAGAAGCTTTAAGAGGTTCTAAAATTCGACAGTTTCGTGTTCTCAGAGTTACCTTAGTGCCACGTTGACGAACGATGATGGCGCCAGGTTTAGCGACTTGGTCACCGTAGATCTTGACACCGAGTCTCTGACCGGGAGAATCACGACCGTTCTTAGTACTACCGGCTCCTTTCTTGTGCGCGGATTCAATTGTCAATGGAATCGGAGCTTGGAGGTTTTCCAACGGGAGAGTCACCGTGAAGGAGGTTTTTGGGGAGAAATTCAAGTCGCCTCTGAGGAACGACGAGGTAGAAGAGAGAGACAAGCCTTTGAATGCTCCAATTAGATTCAAACTCATCGACGTTGCAATCGCCATTGCTAAAATCAAACCCAGAGAAATTAGGGCTTTGTGAGGATGAAGAAGAAGTGTTGTGAGTGAAGGACACCCTTATCGTTTCGTTTCGTCTCACTCGATTTTAGCGACTATTAGACGATAAGAGGAGGACACGTCAGCGAGTGAAAATTTGAAAAAAAAAAAAAAAAAAAAGAGGGTGTTGACAGTGGGATTTGAACCCACGCCCTTTCGGACCAGAACCTTAATCTGGCGCCTTAGACCAACTCGGCCATATCAACTTGTTGTTCCATTGAGGAGAAATATCATATCTAAACCCAAATACAAAAATGTTTAGAAACATCTATAGTGTATATCTCTAGCGAAATGAATAAATGGACCCTCTGTTGTCTTCCACTCAAATGGCATTACTAAAGTCCAATGGGCAGCCCATTATGGGCTTACCAATCAATATAAAATGTAAGAGCCAGTAGTCTTGTAGAAAATAAGATATTTTGGGTAGGATAATACAAAATAAATTACTAAATAGTGTATTCAAAATGATAGTGAAAATTAGAATATTTTGAAGTACAGTGTTTTTTGGTGTAATTTTTCTTTTCTTTTTTCATTTAGAAAAAGCTAAATTTACTGAATATTACAAAACTAAATAAATAAATAAAATTCTAAAAATCCTCATCAAGCTTGAAGACGTGATCATTATTAAACGCAGCGTTTCCAGTAAGACTCGTCATCACAGAAGCTTTCTGATACTCACCGACTCTCTTCTCGAAGAAGTTAGTTTTCCCCTGAAGCGAAATCAATTCCATCCAATCAAACGGATTAGTCACACCGTACACCTTACCGTACCCAAGCGCACCCAGTAACCGATCCGCCACGAATTCGATGTACTGACTCATCAAATCACGGTTCATCCCAACCAACGCGCAAGGAAGCGCGTCGCACACAAACTCTCTCTCGATCTCGACCGCATCACGAACGATCGATTTCACTCGATCTTCGCTGAGCTTCGATCGAAGGAGACTGTAGATCAAACAAGCGAAATCGCAGTGAAGGCCTTCGTCTCGCGAGATCAATTCGTTGGAGAAAGTGAGCCCAGGCATTAAACCTCGTTTCTTCAGCCAGAAAATCGAGCAGAAGCTACCGGAGAAGAAGATACCTTCGACGCAAGCGAAAGCCACGATACGTTCAGCGAAGCTCTGAGATCCGTCGATCCATTTCATCGCCCATCGCGCCATTTTCGCGACGCAGGGAATGGTTTCGATTGCGCGGAAGAGATGATCTCTCTCTTTGTTGTCTTTGATGTAGGTATCGAGAAGGAGACTGTACATCTCGGAGTGAATATTCTCGATCGCGATCTGGAATCCGTAGAAGGCACGAGCCTCGGAGACTTGAACATCGGACATGAACCGGGAAGATAGATTCTCCAGAACGATTCCGTCAGATGCGGCGAAGAAAGCGAGGACGTGCTTGACGAAGTGCCGTTCGTCGTCGTTTAGGGCTTTTTCCCAGTCGCGGTAATCCTGAGATAGATCGACTTCTTCGGCGGTCCAGAAAGAAGCTTCGGCTTTCTTGTACATCTCCCAGATCTGTGGGTATTGGATCGGGAACATACAGAATCGATCTGGACTTGGGGTTAGAAGCGGTTCTTCTGGCATCGAAGGCATTGTTGTGGTGAAGAAAATCAAACAAATTTGAGAAATTGAAGACTAAATCGATAATTTTCTGTAGGTTTGTGGATCTGTGATTGGATATATATGTATATATATATATGCTGAAAATTGGGGGTTTTGAAGTTTTGGGTTTTTGGGTGTGTGAGAATTAGGGACGGAAACAAAAAGTGAGGAGGGAATTCGAATTTTTTTTGTTACATTGATTAAGTTTATTTAGTTACAAATCTCCCTCCAAAATTCGAAACAAATCATTCTCGTTGTTGTGAACTATGGATGACACTATTAGAGATATTTATGAACATTTGATGCAAAGTAACATAACATTTGAATATGAAACCACTATGTCTTATTCATCCTCCTCACCTTCTTCTTCCCCATACATAACTTTCTAAGCCAACTCCAGTGACCTGTATCTTTACTGTTTTTCATGTTTTCGACTTTATAAGCTCCTGCCTCGTAGTCTCCATCTCCATCAATGTGGTGGTTTCTGTATTCTTCACTGTTGAGCACACCTACAGCTTCTTCCCTCAAGATCTGTACACCGCACTCAATAATCTTGCAATTGTTTTCGCCGCAGATGAATTCAAACAGAATCTCGTCCGTATTCACCTCCTCTCCAAGGCCTCTGTTTTGTTGTTCATGAAACAAGTGACCACAAAATATAAACAGATGCTCCGATGGAGATCGATGATGATACTGATTTGAAACCTCTGCAAACTTGTGAACGGTGTTAACTTCAGCGCCTCCTTTTATTCTTAGACGACAAGTTATATCAAGAAATGAGACGTCCTCAATGGGCAAAATCACAAGGCAAGCCTTGAATCTTGAGGACGCAGAGAAAGCCAGAGGGATGCTTATGGAGTTCCCTGTATCCTGGTGAATGAACTCTGCAGGGACTACTTTACCTGGTAAGCACGTTTGCATGTGAACAGGTTGTTGAATGATTCGTCTTCTTGACTCTTGTTCCAGTTTCAAACAGTTGTGGAACATGAGTATCCAGACCGAGTCACGGAAAGAGGCTGCAAGTCAACACACAACAAATGAGTGAATATTCATACTTAGGTTCAAGTCATTAGAAACATCTATTTACATATACCAACCTGGATCCCTCCCCAGAGCTTCTCAAGATTACTCTCTGGCATATAGAGTTCGACGAGACGTTCTGGCTGAAATGTCAGAGGAAGACATTTTCTCGGGTAAAAGGGCCAATGTAGTAACCTTACACGAGGTAGATACTCCATGTCCTCTAACAATCTAACGTTTGCATTGTTAAACCTTAAGTATTTGAGATTACGCATTCCTTCAAAGGCTCTCCCACTAATAGAAAACTCGCTGAACTTGGAATCATCAAATGATATACCCAAGACAGATCCAGTGCCCTACCAAATATGGCAAGAAGATGAAAATGTTATCACAAAACAAAAGGCAATGTATATAGTGAAGATGTAGGTAAGAGCCTTACTGTTTCATTTGCCAGTACATCACGAATCTCTTCGGCTTCTACTAAAAACTGACGTTTACCGGCCTCGCTAGACTGTTGAGCAACTATTTCTCTACCCAGCTTTTGTAGCAGAGAGTGCATCTTTATCGATCCATTAGTAGATATATGCACAAGAGATTTAAAAACCAGGATCTTCAACCCATTTTCGACATCCAAAAGACTGTCGGCGAGCATTGTTGTCACATAATCAACAGTTTTATAGTTGAAGAAGCATGCAATATGTAGAAACAGAGATTGATATCTCTGCAACAGTTTGTCATATCCCACTCTCAAGACATTCTCAATTTTTCTGTCGAGATTAGTTTCTAGCGCATCTATTTGAATCCTCCACTCTTCCTCGCTCTCCCCGCACAGAGATGAACCCACAACACGTAGACCTAATGGAAGATTACCGCAAAACTTTACTACTTTTTCTGCAAGCTCTTTGAAACGAGCTCGTGGAGAGCTTTGTTTGAAAGCAGAGAGACATAAGATCTCAAGAGCTTCTTCCTCGGATGGAAAATCTACATGGTATATATCGTTGATCCCATGTGTTTTCAAAATCTTTTTATCTTGTGTGGTCACAATGATCCGACTTCCAGGACCGAACCAAGAAAGTTCTCTAGCCAAAACCTCTAACTGCTCTACATCATCTACATCATCAAGAATGATAAGCAATCTTTGATCTTGTAGCCATTCTTTGATTGCACCTAAATGATGTACCCTCATGTCCCTTTGGTTCAAAGTCTTGGACAGAAGTTGGCTTTGCAAACACAACTTGGAATCATAGTCATCAGCTTTGAATCTGAGGTTCCACATGAAACATCTGAGCCTAAAATCGCTAGAAAGTAGATTGTATAGAGCTCTAGCAATGGTAGTCTTACCAATTCCGGCAGGACCCCAGATTCCAACCATCTTCACTTCATCATCACACTCGAGGCACAACAAAGATTCCAGTTTTGTCAAGTGAGCTTTCAGTCCAACCATGTTGTCAAAATCTCTCGAAGGAGTAACATTCAGTTTGTTTGAAACATCTGTAGCAATCTTCTGAACCATCTCTGCTTCGTTAGCCCTTCACAAAAAGCAAAACAAAATCCACCATTGAAGCATCAATACAGAAAAAAGGTAAAAAGCATTCTAATCCATTGAGCTCAAAAGAAACAACAAACCAGTTTAGAGAGTGTTCTCCAGCTATCTCCGCTACATATGACAAAGCTTTGATCCAACTCTGCTTCAGTTCCTCTGTTTTTCCTTGACAAGTTTTCACGAAAGTGCTTCCGAAATCTCCCCATTGTTTCCGTATATCGGATGGATTCACTTGGTAAAATATCGTCAACACAATCTGCCCCTGATCTTCTTTGCACCTCAAGATTTCAACCAGTTCATCTAAGCACCAGCGAGAAGAAGCGTATTGCTTCGAGAGCACCACGATCGAGAGTCTAGATTCTCTAATCGCTTGTATGAGTTCGGGTCCGATCGTTTGGCCTCTCTCGATCTCGTGATCTTTGAACACAGTGATCCCTATGCTTTCAAAGTGATGGTGTAAATGACTGAGAAATCCTCTACGGACATCTGGGCCATGGAAACTCGGAAAGACATGGTATCTCTTGATGCGAGACGAAGAAGAAGAAGAAGAAGCCATAGAAGAGATAGAGTAAGAGAGAGGTTTGAAGGCAGATATTTGCAGCAATGATTCCTCAGAGTCGTCAAGGATCAATGGTGGAATTGGATTTTGTGAAGCTTGCCATTTTCCGGTGACGAAGCAACTGAAGTGTGGTCCGAGCACTATCAGAATACATAAAAAGATCAACGACTAGTGAAATAAGAATTGGAGAAGATGCCGAAGATTGAGAAGCTTAGGCCACTTAGTGGCCGAGAGTGTTTAATCTACGGCGGGGCAGGTGGCGGAGATTTACCGGAGGGGATGGTGTCGCAACTAGGGAGTAGGGGGGCGATGTGTGGGATTTTGTCTTTACTTGTTTGTATTATTTTCGGTTTGATTAATTTTATGGTTGTAATAATGAAGGTATATCATTTTTTTGGAGATCATAAATAATTGTCCGAGATCAGCATACTTTACAAACTTTCATTTGACTTGGTTAAACAATATAGAGGTAAAAAGAAATATTTATTTGAATATCGAGTTGGTTAAACAATTTAGTTGGAGTTTAGAATTATAGTGGTAAAGTCGTTTAAAATGCGTAATTTAGTTTTTATTTCCCTGCGAATGATATATATGTCATATTAGTCACACCGTACACCTGATGAAATGATGATGGAGATGATGGTTAACCCTAAGACTTGTTTGGTACGTATAAACATATTCTCGTCCTGAATATAGATTTTTTTCTGTAAAATATACAATTCAAGAAACTGGCTTGTGGATTCAATGGATAAGTCATGTAATACTACTGATGCCAAAACTCAGAACAAGGGTGTTGATTTGAGATTCAGAGAGTATTCATTCAATTTGTCTGATCAAATTTCATCAATTCCAGTTTCACATAAAGAAGTAAACAATACAAACACATATCTTATCTTTCCAAAAACTCTAAGCTTGAGACGCATACCGAGTTGCGTACCGAGGACTCGGATATTACATTCCCACAGCTAAACGAGGCTAAGCAGCATTACTTCTTGTCTTCTGCTTTACGCGGCTGCAAAACAACAGAAACCAAAACACAGAGATCAGCAAAATTCAAATATGCAGACCTGCAAATACTACACTACACAGGAAGAAGACGCTCGAAAACGTTCACGTTATCAGCTTAAACTCATATCCAGGTTCCAAAGTTTCTTCCTTTTTTTTTAGAATTCAAATATGAGAAAACGACAATGTGCAAATGAGACAAGACCTTAACACCAGGAGCCTCTTGGTGAATCTCTTCTTCAGGGATGATCACAGGCCATTGCTCTCCCGCTTCGCGGAACATTTGCTCTGTCTCGAGATACTGACCTTTATCGAGGATCATCTTCCTGATCGTCTGAGCCGAGGTTTCTGCTGCATCGAAAGCTTCCTCAACACCATTGACAAACGTGACATTGATCCGCGGTGGCTGATCGTCTGTTCTACGCTTCACCAAAACCTGACAATTCGGGTTTGATTCTTTGGCTTTCCTTGCATTGCATTGCGCTAAGAATTCAACGCAAGACGCTAGCCTTGGATCCAATGTGTTGTACTCAATCTTTACTTTTGATAGAAACTTCAACATCCTCTTTAGCTTTCAACCCTTATACAAAATTTTAACCAAAATCAGCCATTAACCACAGAAGAAGAAATTTTTTAAAAAATTCCTTATGAAATATTATCAGGGAACTTCGAAACATCCTTAAATTTTTACAAATCACGCACTGGATTCCATGAAATCAGAGAAGGAATGCAATTCTACAGAAATTCGATAACTCGGATAGCAAATCGTGAAGCAAATTTCCAGATTCATTAGAAATGTGGAGATCTGAATATGATTCTACCAAAATCTGAGCATTATTCCAAATGATTCGTGAAAAAAATAGCCTAATGAGGTTCCGGATGAAAAAAGAAACATAAAATGCTATTCAACGAAAGTAACACCTCAGTTTTGAGCTTAGAAGGAAATCTCTGACTTACCGGTCGACGGGTCCGATTTCGATTTTCCAGCGAGAGTAACTTATGGGAAATGCAGAAGAAGCCGATGCAGGTGAAGACTAAAGATAGAGGGTTTTGCTATGTAAATGACGATAGTACCCTTATTCTTAGTCCCTTTGGTTCGGTTCGATTGAGCCGGTTGGTTTGTGTGATAGAGTCGGACATTTAATTTTGGACACATTGATGAAAAAAAAAAAATGGGCCCAAAAGTAAAAGCCCACATCTTTCCCGCCCTCTATAGGATGCTCTCTGATACTGTAACTTCCCTGCAACGGTTTTTCTCCACAACAAACATTTCTTCAACCAGAGAGAGAGACGAGAGAGAGACGAGAGAGAGCTCAAAGAACGGCTTCAATGGCGTCGAAGCTTCTTACTACCTTCTTCCTCCTATTTTGCTTTCTCGATCTCGTCTCACATTCCGATGCTTCTGTAATCTCCTCCGCCGTGGAAGTCCTCTCCGATTCCGGCTTGTTCTCCATGGGGCTCACTCTACAGCTCGCGAATAAAGATCTGGGCCTAGAAGAGTGGCAAGAACTCACCATCTTCGCGCCTTGCGATCAAGCTTTCAAGGAATTTGGACAACCTTCGCTTCTCGATATCAAGTACGAGCTCTCTCCGGCGAGGCTCCCTGGAGAAACCCTAAGGAACCTTCCTCGTGGCGCGAAAATCCCTACCATGAGATCTAATTCCTCTCTGATCGTCACGAATTCATCGCGATCCGGAGGTACTTTTTCGATCGACGACGTCGTGGTCCAAGATTCTCCTGTTTTTGACGACGGCTACGTCGTGATTTACGTAGCCGGCGGGTTTTTCACAGCACCGATCTCAGAACCGAGCCTTAATTCATCATCGTCTTCTTCAATCGCAAACCCTATCTCATCTCCTGCAACTATTGATTCGATTCCTATCCCTAGCTCAGCGACTCGTACTGCTCCGAGCCCTGATTTCTCCGAATCCACTAAAAATCTTCCCAACAGATCTAAACCAGCGAATTGCTTCAACATCTTCGAATCCGCTTCGAGTTTGCTATTCTCCAGAGGTTTCGTGATAATGGCCACGTTTCTCGCTCTACAGCTCGAAATATCAGGGAACGACACGAAGCTCACAGTCTTCGCTCCCATCGACGAAGCGATTCCAAACTCCATCAACAAATTCTCCGATTACGCCACTATTTTCCGAGGGCATGTGATCCGGCAACTACTTTCTTGGAAAGATCTCCAGAAACTGGCGTGGGAAGGATCGATCCTGCAAACTGCTCTAAAAGGGTATGAAATCGAGTTCTCTTGGTCAGGTGATATCCTTCTTCTCAATGGAGTCCCACTCATCTACCCAGATCTGTATGCCAACGAATGGGTTTCTGTTCATGGAGTTAACCAAATGATCGCACCGCAAGCACTTCAGCCTAAACTGGGAGATTCTATCTCAGAGCTAAACGGTGGAGAAGAAGAAGGAGATGATGTTCATGAAGAGTACTCTTCCGAGTATGGTCTCCACTGATTTTGTCAGTACATTTCTAAAAGACGATTTGATTCAACAGTAAGTAAAAGAAACTCATATTCTCTGATTCTCTGTTCCATAATCTCTGATTCTCTGTTTTCTCTAGAGTTTGTAACAATGAGAAACGCTTTATAGCTTGAAAAATAAATAAAAAGGTTTCAGATCTTTAGACTTCTCTTGGTGTGTGAATGTTACTGCCTCGGTGGAGGCATCTGAGATTTAGCAAAATTGATCCATGTAACAATTCCAACGGCTAAGATGACCCATCCAAGCACATCATACTTGAGATCACTGTTCTTCTTCTTCTTCATGGTCTGTGAGGAAAAAAACACAAAATGTTTTCAGATTTCATCAAAACCAATTTTGGATTTGTGTAAAAGAAAAAGACCTTTGAATTGGTTGATGATGGTCCAGCAGCACCGCCCAATGGTTGTGGACCTAAACCATGTTGGTGAACCGCTGTATGTAGTTCTGGAGCCTGCACATAGCACACAAAGAGAGAAGAAGAATTGGTCCAAAGAAGCAAAAACCAAAGATTAGGCAAAAACCAATTTGAGGAACCTCTTCTACATGTTCATCTGAATTCTTGAATCAGGACAGGTTTATTGTTCTCTGTTGCACGTTTTATAGATAAAGGATGTACCTTAGAAGTCAATGCCAATGATCTCTGATAGTTTTCGTTCTCTGGTTGCTGCAAAATATCAACATAATGTTACATCTCACAGTACAACAAAACACCACATACAGTACACAACGACGATGATAATATTAATAATCACACAAGATAGGTCTCTGGTTTTGGAATGTGAACGAAAGAGAGATTCACCTCGTCAACAGCTTGTTGAAAGTAGTGAGTGGCTTTGTCAAAGTTATCTCTAGCCTCGGTTTCGTCAGGAGTCAAAAACCCAATTGAAGTATGAGCATTCCCGATTATCCAAAGCGCATCGTGCTTCTTTGGGTTGATTAACAACGCCTCTTCCAGCTTCGATATGGCATCTACACAACAAATTCAAATTTTTGTCTATGGATTTTTCATCAAACGCAAATCAACAAAAGCTAATCTGAGAAAGATGGTGAGAAAGCAAAGCACCTTGAAGCATTAGCTTTGACTCTGATGGGTTCTGAATCTGGGATACTTCCAATAACGCTCCTCCCCATCTCGTCAAGTTCTACAGAAAATCAAACAATGTTAAAAGACCCTGAAATCCTAATTCAATTTCCACCATAGAATCACAAGTAGCTCCCAAAAACCCCAATTCTCCATAGAAATTCAGATAAAAGAGGGAAATTTTAGATCTTATTTGGACCCAATACGTATAGAGTAAACAATTAAGCGAGACCAACACATCTGAAATATTGAATTAATCAAAACTCAGGAAAGATCAGAGAAACTAACATCGGCGTCTAAAGGGTTTTTGATGTAGGTGGCTTCTGCTGCTTTCAGAGCATAGTCGAAGAACGCCAATCTCTCGAGATCCTCCTGCAAATCCATGGCTTCTAAAGCTTCGCGGCGAGACACCGATTCTTCCGTAACAAGTTTATGGCCGAAGGAAGAAACAACAAAATCGTAAGGCGGTTCGCTCTTCTCGGCCGATCAATCTTAATACTTTTGTTTCTCGGCTGAGCCACAATGCGCCTTAATGGGCCATAAGGTCAGCCCACTAAACATTATGAAAACATAAACGACATGAACCGAATAATTCGAATTTCTGAACTTCCGAAACGGACCGAACCGAGACAGAACGTCCAGACCAGACATACGCAGCGGCGTAGCGCTTACGTATCAAATTTGATGGGATTGGAATAATAAATTGTGAAATCCTCTGATTCTGAAACAATAAAAATTACGAGAACGAGTAGTAGTTAAATTCCAATCCAACGGCTAAGTTTCGTCATTCCAGAAACACATCAGACAAATGATTCCCCACTTTGCTAATTACCTAATCAAGTTCTTCACAGCTATAATCTTCTCCTCCAACATTCCAACTTCATTTTCCAAGAAACTATCTCTCCGACAATAAACTCCTTAATTCACTGTCTTCATCAACATTTTAAAGCACATTTTCAAAACACGTTTTCACAAACACCTTAAATCGTAACAAGCTAACAATGAATTTTCAACTTGGAGTACGTAATTCGTAAGAAATTTCCCCAAGTAAAAAACATTTTGAACTTACGAGCTTTAACACTTGTAGAAAATAGTTACATTGATATCATTACCTAGATTTTAAAGTTTAAACACACACTAGTAGTCTAGTATACATTTATGGACATTTGATACAAAATAAAATTACATTCGAAATGAAACCAATTATAGTAAAAAGAGTAAGGAAAGATCTAAAGAACGCACTTGATGAAACAAAGCAATGGAAAAAGAGATAGCACAGGGAAACAACAGATAGCAAACGGCAAAAGATGCCGGTTTTGTCTCCGTCTTCATTCTCTTCCCCAGATCAAGCTTCCAAAGCAAAATCCTACAACATGTGATGTTTTCATCTTTCGAGAGCTGAACAGCATCAGGCTTATAGTACCTCATGAAGATGGTCAAGGAGCTAAGAAATAACTTATATATTCTCAGGTACCATCACTGGATCCTGAGACTGGTCTCGAACTCGGCTCTGTCTTCTTCCCCACATGAAGCTTCCTTAGCCAACTCCAACAACCTGCATTTGTACTGCTTTTCAAGTTTTCACCTTTAGAGACCATAACATCTTTTGCTTCATAGTCTCCATCTCCATATCCATCTGTGTGGTGGTTGCTGTTACCTCCAGTTTTATAGTAGTCCACTTCGCTGCTACTGCTACTACTACTACTCTCTCCTTCATCTAACAGTATCTGTACACCGCATTCCATAATTTGGTTTCCCCAGCAATCGAATTCAAACAGAATTTCGTTCGTCGTCTCGTCCACTTCGAGGCATCCGTTTTGTTCATGAAACAAGCCACCACAAAATATAAACAGATGCTCCAATGGAGATGGAGGAAACACATCTGAAATCCATGGCAACCTGTGGACGCGATTAATTTCGACACCTCCTTTGCCTCTTATATGACAAAATATTACAAGAGGTGAGAGCTTGTTGAGTGGCGAAAGCACAAGGCAAGCCTTAAATCTCAAGGACGCAGAGAAAGTCCCGTTAAGGCAGATGGCTATGGAGTTTCCAGTAGCTTTGTGAGTGAACTCTGCAAGGACTTCTTTACCTGGTAAGCATATATACTCAGAAATATACTTCTGAACCGAATGTTGAATAACTCCTCTTCTTGCCTCTTCATCAAGTTTCGAACAGTTGTAGAAAATGAGTACCCTGATTAGGTTGTTGACTGAGCAACATACTCTCTTGAGTGATACACAGTGGTTTGCACACAGGAAATCGAGCGAAGGGAAGTGACCTTGAATTGACACGAGTTTTGTGCAGTTTTCGACGATTAGGGTTTGTAGATGAGTGAAACCTATGCCGCACTCCGGAATCGTCTCTATCTCGCAGTTTTTTAGGACTAGCCAAGTTACACGTAGCGGGACATGTGTTAATCTCTTGAGACTTCTGGTGCCTATGTCAAGCCACTCAAGACGAGACCAGTGTTCAACAATGGACGCAGGAAATTCTTCAATCTTTGAATCCCCTACACGGAGAATCTTGATGTTCCTAGAAATATTTGGCAGACTTCTCAATCGTGAGCAATCACTCATGTCGACTTCTTCAAGAGATGCCAAGTTGATGTTGTTAGGAACAACTTCTAGCTTAATGCACCCTGACGCCTTCAGCTTTTTCAGTCTTGTGTAGATTTCTTATAGAAGATGGAACCTCCACCAAACTTGTGCAGGACGTAAGTATCAATGTCTCGAGATTGGTGGCATTTGAAAGATTTGGGACTTCTTTCAACATTAGGGAATTGCTCAGATTTATTTTCTTGAGATTTGGAAGGGGCTGCATGTCAAACACAACAAATGAGGAATATCATACTCAGTAGAAACATAGTTACAAATATCAAACTACCAACCTGGATCCCTCCCCAGAGCTTCTCAAGATTACTCTCTGGCATATAGAGTTCGACGAGACGTTCTGGCTGAAATGTTAGAGGAAGACATTTTCTCGGGTAAAAAGGCCAATGTAGTAACCTTACACGAGATAGATATTCCATGTCCTCTAACAATCTAACATTTGCATTGTTAAACCTTAAATATTTGAGATTAGGCATTCCTTCAAAGGCTCTCCCACTTATAGAAAACTCGATGAACTTGGAATCATCAAATGATATACCTAAGACAGATCCAGTGCCCTACCAAAAAAAAAAATTGCAAGAAGAAGACTGATGAACTAGTTATCACAAAAAAAGGGGTCAATCTATAGGTAAGAACTTACTGTTTCATTTGCCAATACATCACGAATCTCTTCCGCTTCTACTAAAAACTGGCGTTTACCCGGCTCGCTAGACTGCTTCACAACTATATCTCTGCCCAGTTGTTGTAGTAGAGAGTGCATCTTTATTGATCCATTAGTAGATATGTGCACAAGAGATTTAACGGCTAGGGTCTTCAACCCATTTCTGACATCCAAAATACTGTCAGCGAGCATAGTTGTCACATAATCAACAGATTTATAGTTAAAGAAGCAAGCAATATGAAGAAACAGATCTTGATATTTCTCCGACAATCTGTCATATCCCACTCTTAAGACATCCTCAATTTTTCTATCAAGACTAGTTTCTATCCCATGTAACTGAAGCCTCCACTCGTCCTCACTCTCCCCACGCAAAGATGAACCCACAACACGAAGGCCTAAGGGAAGACTACCACAAAACTTTACTACTCTATTTGCAAGCTCTTCAAAACCATCTTGTACATAACTTTGTTTGAAAGCAGATAAACATAAGATTTCAACAGCTTCCTTTTCGGATGGAAAATCCACATTGTAGATAACGTCGATCCCATGTGCCTTCAGAATCTTCTTATCTTCTGTGGTAACAATGATTCGACTTCCAGAACCAAACCAAGAAGGTTCTTTAGCTAAAACCTCCAATTTCTCTATATCATCTACATCATCAAGAATGATAAGCACTCTTTGATCTTGTAGCCATTCTTTGATTGCGCCTAAATGATGTACCCTCATATCTCTTCGGTTCAAAATTTTGGACAGAAGTTGGTTTTGCAAACACAACTTTGAATCATAATCATCAACACCCATTATGCTCTTATAACTTCCTTTGAGGTTCCCCATAAAACATAGAAAACTAAAACTGCTAGAGAGATGATTGTATAGAGCTCTAGCAATGGTGGACTTACCAATTCCCGCAGGACCCCAAATTCCAATCATCTTCACGTCATCATCACACTCGAGGCATAACAAAGTGCTCAGATTTGTCAAGTGAGCTTCAAGTCCAACCATCCCGTCAAAATCCCTCGACGGAGTAACATTCAGTTTGTTTGAAACATCTGTAGCAATCTTTTGGATCATCTCTGCTTCATTAGCCCTAACAAAAGCAAACAAAATCATGTTGGTGGGTCTAAAGTTATAGAAATAAAATCCACCACTGAAGCATATCGATTAAGAAAGATAAAAGCACAAAAGAAACAACGAACCAGTTTAGAGAGTGTTCTCCTGCTACAGTTGCTGCATATGCCAAAGCTTTGCTCCATCTCTGCTTCTCTTCTTCAGTTTTCCCTTGACAAGTTTTCTCGAAAGTGTTTCTGAAATCTCCCCTCTGTTTCCGTACATCGGATGGATCAACTTTGTAAAAAACCGTCATCACAATCTGCCCTTGATCTTCTTTACACCTAAAGATTTCAACCAACTCATCCAAACACCAGCTCGAAGACGCGTACTGCTTCGAGAGCACCACGATCGACACTCTAGATTCTCTGATTGCTTGTATGAGTTCAGGTCCAATCGTATGGCCTCTCTCGATCTTCTGATCCATGAATGTCGTGATCCCTTTGGTTGTAAAATGATGGTGTAAATGACTGATAAATCCACTACGGACGTCTGGGCCATGGAAACTCGGAAAGACATGGTATCTTTTGATATGAGACAAAGAAGAAGAGTAAACCATGAGAGATAGCCTAAAGGAGAGATTGAAAAAAAAGTGTCACAATGATTTTGGATAAGCTATCTATGGAGGAGGAAACAAGCCCCTTTGTTTAAATTTGAATGACGACAATACTGACACTGTTCCCCAAAGTTCCTCTGACTATGAAACCACTAATAACCTAGAGATTAATATGACCAATATTCACAAATTTCTTTTCTTTTACTTGGTTCAAGATCAGGTAACTACTAATTAGTAGTACTTACATTGCAATCCAATGGCTAAACTTCAACAATTACAATACTTACACTCCAATCCAATGGCTCAAATTTCATCACTTGAGAAAACTAATCAGACATCTGATTCCACATTTCATCCTCCATGTAAGCCAAAATCGAGTTCTTCACAGTTGCGTTCTTCTCCTTTAACATTCGAACCTCATTCTCCAGAAACTCCCTCTCCGACAACAAACTCCTTAACTCATTATCTCCATCAACAAAAATGTCCCTCTGGAACTCAAAGCACATCTTCACAAACCCTTCCCTGTGTAAAAGAATCAACACACCAATGCTTTCTTAATCTCAGATTATACAAAAATGTAGAACACAAAAGTTTCGTTACAATGCAGATTAAGTAACCAGAGAAATTTGAACATTGCAATCGTTTTTTTTTTTTTTTTTTTTTTTACCGTTTCTCCGTTATCCTTCTGAGTAGCTGACAGTGTTCACTTCTCAGACGACAAATCTCATCCTCCAATAGCTTCAGAGAGTTTCTCGAATCGGCTGTTACGAAACACTGATTAGCTAAAATTCATAAGGCGATTGAGATTTCACAATGAATTGTGATGAAGTAAAAACCTGTTACGGAGATCAAGCCGCTGATTTCGAACTGAGAAGCGAGGAACGATCTCGTAAGCTCAGCTTCCTTGACGGACAGATTCGATTCAAGCTCAGAACATTTAACGATCTCTGATTCGATCTCTCGCGTCACCTGAATGTTCGCTTCGATTTCCAAATTGACCTTGACGGAACTGATCACGTTCAACGCTGATGGCGAGAAATCTAACCAGAGAACTAGTAGAAGAAGAGGAGGAAGAAGAAGAAGAGCAAAACCTGATCAAGCATGTCCTTGTAAACAGAGATTTGACATAGAATCACTCCTGAATCCTCCATCTCTGATCAATCTCTCTCTCGCGCTCTCGCTTTTGCTTCACTACAGAATCAAAATCGCAAAGTTATCCCCCGGCGTGTTGTTCCGGGAAGAGGTGAACTAATGGGCCCTTTGTGGGTTTAAATTGGCCCAATAAGTATGTCCATGGCTTACGTTGTTAACTTAAAGAGCTGTTATTGAATTAAGAGGTTTCTCAATGGTTTTAACTCTGTTGTATTGGGCTATGGGCTTAATATAATTTTCAGTTGATCAAGAAAAAAAAAGTATTTTGATTTTATAAGTGTTTTAAAGATTTTTTTTATTATTATTACTAAAAGAAAATTTGATGATGTATTTCAGAAAATAGATGAAATCCTTCGTATTTGTTTCACTCACGATTTAATCAAATGAATACATTCAAATCCACTCTAACTAAAATGTAGCAAAATCAAAATTAATATTAAATAACATCTGTTTTTAATGTGCTTCAAATTACATCTGACAAACGCTTAATCCAATAACAAAGGATTTTAAAGTAGTTTTCTCAAATACATAAATGAATAACACTGGATTTTATCATTAATTATAGATATATTCAATTTCATTAAAATACACTATAGTTTGTAGTTGAACAGGAAACCAATAAAATCATAAAATTTATACGCATTATATAAAACATAAATGACACATTAATCTTTTTTATACAAACACAAATGTTCAAATTAAAAAACATTTTACAAACGAAAACACAAACAAAAATGTGAGGAACCGACTAAGCACAATAAAATTTATGGGTGACCAAAAGTTTGAGGGGAGGAGCCTTACGTATTGGTCTGGCACAAAACCTTGAGTTGTTTAGTTTCAAATAAGCTCTCATTATGAATTGAATTCAAAACAATCAGACACCTGATGTAAAGTTACTTTTGATTGAATATAATTTTATATTCATTAAAAATCATTAAATAATACTTTTCTCTATCAAATTTATCATTATGCAATGATTACACCAAGAGTAATGTCTGAAGTTATGAAACATGAAATTTTTTTATTTTATTAAAAAATGAAAAAGGATGAAAAAAGATTTCTAAAGTTCTTTCATTGTTAGGGTGATCTTTTTTCATTTATTTTCATTTTTTTTTCTATAAAAAAAAGTTTCATCATTCATAAAACCATACACGACTTTTTGTGTAATCATTTCACAATGATTATTTGATGAAATTTCACAATTAAAAATATATTATTTACTCTCATATATAAAAATGGTTATATAAAACAACAAACTTATCTTATTTTTTGATCATATTTTTGATTTAAACTATTTCATTAAAAGATTTGCAGCCATAGTCTAAAAGAAATCTATCAACAAATAAAAGATACATAATTTTATTATATTAAATAGAGGTAACTTTTTAATAATAAGATAATAGATTAGTTTCTCAAAAGTTAAGAGATTTTCTCCAACTCCAAACTCTTTCATTTGGAGAGAGTTTTACAATTTTTAAAAAATTTATTTATTATTATATTACTTTTTATATTTTTACTGTTTGTGAAGAGACTTCTTTAGAGATTATGGATGCTGATGGTCTAATTCGTTAGTTATATATATTGGTATACACAGTCAAAAATAAACTTAATTAACTTGTTTTCAAAAATTATAAAGATATGCAGTCAAATATATTTTAAAGTTTTATTGATTGTTTTATAACTAAATTTACGTTATTTCCATAATTTTTCTAATTATTTTGACCGTTTGATATTAGTCAATTTTCGGTTCTTAATCTCAGTTGTTAGTCATAGTTTTCAAAGTTATTTCCATAATTATGGTTAGTTATTTTCAGTATTGGTCAATTTTCTAGATTTTAGTTGTTAATCATAATTTTATTTGTGATCTGATTAGTTTTTTTTTCTGTTTTATATTTGCATCTTTATTGTAAACTTAAATATTGATGCTTTTGTATATTGAGTGGTTTATTGTAACAAACGTTTATGTTTGTGTTAAAAAAATAATGTGTCGTTTATCTTTTATATAATGCAAAAAAGCCGTGACAGATCAAAGATAATTAAATAAAAACATATCTTAGTCTCATCGTTATTTTCTATCTTCTTCTAGTCACATATCTATTCTGGTTTGAGTGTTGGGTAATAAACGTGAGAACCATCTTCTCTTGTTCTACTATGACTCTCGTTGTTACTTGTTTTAGGTTAAACCATTCTCTCTGTATTTGAAATTTCTCTACAGAACCACCAAAATAAGATCATTACACGTCAATGTTTGTAAATTACTCATAAACAATATCATCAAAAAATATATATTATTTCTTTACTGTTAATATGATCATGACATATGTCAATTTAATCGATAAAAGAATAACAAATCAACATTTAAGTCTAAAACTTTAAGCAAAGATAACGCAGCAGGGTGAAGTTGAAAAGCATCGCAATAGTGTCTTAGTTGCTTATGAAGCTGCTCTTCCTTGTTTGGAGAAGGGCGGCATGTGTAAAGCAGCACTCTCCTACTCCAAGACGAAGGTCTAATTACCAAAAGCCTATCTCCAATCGACTTGAACGCATGGATTTTTCACCTCATCGTATCTTTCCCCACAAGTTAGGTTTTAATTCTTCTCATCTCGGCCACCAAGGACGTAAAACTTTTCGTGCAAGAAACATCCTGAACTGTATTGCCTTCGCTTTTGCATTCCACAAATCGCAGTCCACATTTTGGATTCACTGTTATACTTTTCACATGTGTTCAAAATATTAGTGGTTCCCTTTGCATTGACACAATGTTATGTTCAAAAGTTATGTTTTCGGCAACAGTTATGTTTTTACACGATGCTGTTATTGGCGTTTAACAACAATCACGAAAACCGTTTCTATCTTTTTGTATTTAATCAAAGTTTCTTATTTTTCAGCGTTTGATGATATATGGTTTCTCAATAAAAATATAATAAAACTTTATTATAAATTTTTTGAAATCATAGTTTATAAAATTATTTGGTAGTTCTCCGCTCATCTCTTCATAATTTTTTTTATAATCCGCAGTCGCTCGCTTTCACAAAACTCTTTGTAATCGAATTGTTTAAACCAATCGGATCTAAACATATATGTTTATGATTTAAAGTGTAAAACTATATATTTAATATTTGATTGCTATTAAAAATTAAGAGTTGATCTATTCCTAACTTTATTATATTTGTTAATATAAAATACAATAGATCACAACATATACAATCACACACCTGATGTAAAGTTAGTTTTGACTGAATATAATTTTATCATTATGCAATGATTACACCAAGAGAAATGTCTGAAGTTATGAAACATGAAACTTTTTTTTATTTTATTAAAAAATGAAAATAGTTGAAAAAAGATCTCTAAAGTTCTTCCATTATACTTTTTCGTTAGGGTGATTTTTTTAATTTATTTTAATTTTCTCTATAAAACAAAGTTTCATCGTTCATAAACTCATACATGACTCTTTGTGTAATCATTTCACAATGATAATTTAATGAGATTTTACAATGAAAAAAAATTATTTACTCTCATATATAAAAATGATTATATAAAACAGCAAACTTATCTTCTTCCTTTTGATCATATTTTTGATTTTAAACTATTTCATTAAAAGATCTGCAGCCATAATCTACAAGAAATCTATCAATAAATATTAAATAATATATAATATGATTTTATTAAATAGAGATAACTTTTAATAATAAAATAATAAATTAGTTTCTCAAAAGTTAAGAGATTTTCTCCAACTCCAAACTCTTTCATTTGGAGAGCATTCCCCAATTTTGGAAAAACCTATTTATTATTATATTACTTTATATATTTTACTGTTTGTGGTGAGACTTCTTTAGAAATTACGAATGCTGATAGTTTAAATCGTTCGTTATATATATATTGGCATACACAGTCAAAGATAAACTTAATTAACATAGTTTTCTAAATTTATAAATATATGCAGTCAACTATATTTTAAAGTTTTTTGATTTTTTTACAATTAAATTTACGTTATTTCGGTAAATTTTGTTATTGTTTTGACTGTTTGATATCAGTCAATTTTTAGTTTTTAATCTCAATTGTTAGTCATAGTTTTCAAAGATATTTCCTTAATTATGGTTAATTATTTAAAGTATTGGTCAATTTTCTCGATTTCAGTTGTTAATCATAATTTTTATTTGTGATTTAATTTTTTTTTTTCTGTTTTATATTTGTATCTTTAGTGTAAACTTAAATGTTGATGCTTTTGTATGCTTAGTGGTTTATTGTAACTTAAACGTTTATGTTTTTGTTATTAATATAAATGTGTTGTTTATCTTTAATATAATGCAAAAAAACAATGACAGATCAAAGATAATTAAATAAAAACATATCTTAGTCTCATCGTAATTTTCTATCTTCTTCTAGTCACATATTTATTCTGATTTGAGTGTTGGGTAATAAACGTGAGAACCATCTTCTATTGTTCCACAATGACTCTCGTTGTTACTTGTTTGAGGTTAAACCATTCTCTCTGTATTTGAAATTTCTCTACAGAACCACCGAAATAAGATCATTACACGTTAATGTTTGTAAATTGCTCATGAACAATATCATCAAAAATATATATTATTTCTTTACTGTTAATATGATCATGACATGTGTTAATTTAATCGATAAAAGAATAACAAACCAACATTTAAGTCTAAAACTTTAAGCAAAGATGACGCAGCAGGGTGAAGTTGAAAAGCGTCGTAACAGTTTCTTAGTTGCTTCCGAAGCTGCTCTTCCTTGTTTGGAGAAGGGCGGCATGTGTAAAGCAGCACTCTCCTACTCCAAGACGAAGGTCCAATCACCAAAAGCCTATCTCCAATCGACTTGAACGCATGAATTTTTCACCTCATCGTACCTTTCTCCACAAGTTAGGTTTTGATTATTCTCATCTCGGCCACCAAGTACATAAAACTTTTCGCGCAAGAAACATCATGAACTGTATTGCCTTCGCTTATGCATTCCACAACTCGCAGTCCACATTTTG